TAAATTTTTACGTACAATCAACATGAATATGTTTTTTCTCTTCGGTTGAAATTAAAGGCGTAAAACTTTATCATTCCTCCACAAATGAATACATGAAATCATAAATAAATATACTTTGTTCTCGCATTCTCAACCTTTTTGGTGTTCTCATTTGATCATACTCCTATATATATATATATATATATATATATATATATATATATATATATATATATATATATATATATTGCTGATAAATTAAATAACTGAACTAGAATTCAATAATTTGACATTGTGTTTTTTTTAATTTTAAATTTGATACTATGTTTTCTAATTTGTTATAATTCTGATCGGTCAACCCAATTACATACTAACATGGCATGATGACGTGGCATACAGAAATAACATGTAGAAATGCCATGTTGATGTATCAAAAAAAAAAAAAAAAAAAAAAAAAATCTCATAAGGCACTAAAATTTTACTTTTTTCGATTTTAACATTAAGTTTTTTTTTTCAATTTTGACACTCTATTTTTTTTCTAAATCGAAAATTATTTTTTCCTATTTGTTCAATGTTAATCATTTTCCATTTGAAATCGTATAAATATTTTTTTAATATATTTTAAACTATATAAATATATATTTCCATTTAAAAATCATATTTTTGTATAAATTAATTTTTTTACATTCAAACCATAATATTATATATAAATATGTATTAGTTATATAAAAACCATATTTTAAATTAAATACACAACTTTAAAATGAGTTTAGAGGTTCTGAGACATATAGTCGATTAACGCTCATAGGTTAAGTTTACAACCCATGAAATTTTACATTTCATATCATATTCATAATATTATTAGGAACATCTTGAATGGTGTGACTCCCAAATACTATAATGACTTAATCTCGAACGATCATTTAAATATTGAATGAGAATTTAGTTATTCAAGAGGTATCTAATCATTATGTCCATTAACAATATCGAAAATTATATTATTCATCTTAATTTTTTCAAAAATACTTATGAAGGATAAATACCGTCATTATAACATCTATTTTAGTATTATTATTAAATATTTATATTTTGTTCTATATTTCTCACCCCTTCTTTAATGTTTCAAACAACATTAGATGCGAAATCAATATATAACTAAATACATATTTATACATAACATTTATTTGAATGTTAAAAAACACTATATTTATATAAAAATGTGTTTTTTAAATGAAAAATTATACGGTTTAAAATGTAATAAAAACATATATACTGCTTCAAATGGAAAATGATCAACATTTAATAAAATTAAAAAAAAAAATGATGTTTGATTTAGAATAAAAAATAGAGTGTCAAAGTTGAAAAAAATAAATAAATTTAGTGTCTTTTGTGGAAAAAATCGGTTTTGACACATCAGCACGTTATCATGTCATGTTAGCAAGTAACTGGGTTGATCGGTCAAATGGTTATAATTGTAATAAATTGAAAACACAGTATCAAATTTAAAACAAAACACACACACACACACATTATCAAATTAGCATATTTGTATATATTTAGTGTCTTTTGTGCTATTTATCCTAAAAATATTGAAAAAAATCACAAGCTTGAGTATATTTGTTAAATTCACAACAATGAACTCGTGAGTTATTTTTTAATAAAGAAATTAAATACTCTCTTACATTTTGTCTATCTATCTTCTTACTTTTTTTTAATCAACAAATATACTAAACTATACCTAAATTATTTCACTTATATCTACTGCGGACTTGAACCCTTAATCTCAAAAAAGGAATGCAATACCAGCTACCGTTGGGCTAGAAATCCTTTTAGTATCTATCTTCTTACTTACTAAACGAAAACAATTGTCAAAATCAAGATGTGTGATTAAGCAAAGGAATTAATGGTTTCCACGTGTTATGGAAAAATTTATAGAAAAACCTCAATATTTTGGATCAATTTACAATATAGTCCCTAGTTACTTTTTCTTTTTTTTACAAAAAGCCCTAAAAACCAATAAATTGTTGCATTCTGATCATTTTCTTCCGGTTACCTTCTAATCAGTATGTAACAAATTAATTTTAAACTATTTCATAAATTGACCTAAAATATCAAGATTAAAAAAAACATTATTATTATTATTATTATTATTATTATTATTTATTAAAAACGTAAGTAAATATATTATTTTTAAAATCGTTGTTATTAGTATTACTAAATAAATACATGTACAAATAAATTTTAAATGCGCATTTATATAGCAACAAAAAATACTTTTGAAAACTCACAAATTTTAAATTATTCAAAATAAGTATTTCAATTAGGGATTCCAATGTATCAATTGAAAATAGTGAAGTAATAGAAGAATCATTATCTTCTTACGTATATATGAAACTATAAATGTAAGTCACATCTATCGATCCATGTTAATTTTATATGTCGCCTTTTATCTTTTTCTTTTGCTTGTTTACAATGTGATGTAGTGATGGTAGCTAACATTGGGTTGTTTTGGTGGGAAGATATGGCTACTTAAAAAATGTGAGTAAGAAAGATGTTGGTTGCTGATCCCAATAATTCAGTAAGTGGGGAAGAGATTTCAAGTTATACGGAGGAAAAACGATTTTAAAAGAAAAGGTCTAGGTGACAAAGGATTACAAGATTATGAGGCAAGTGATTAAGAGATTGAAGGCTAAATTAAGCCAAACAGATATTTATTTGGTCTTTGGGGTTTGTGTTTAGTGTTGCTACTTCAACCCGTTTCTCTTCTCTTCTTCAACTATCTTGAAATCATTTTACATAATCGAACAAGACTTATGTTTTTGTTCAATTGAAATAGATAAATGCCCCACAACTCTAAAATCAACAAGATATTGTAATAAAATACCTTAATCGATGCATGCATAATATGCAACAATGTACATATCTACTATACCACGCCATTGTTCATCTAAACTATAAATGCTTAAAATATAAAAAAGTAACCACTTACTCTAAACCCCAACTTTTCAACCTTAAAATCAAGATTAGTATTACTGATAAAAGCTACTTTTCTCTACGATATAATTCATCTTTAGATCTCAAGTCTTAACTCGAAATCAAAACTTTTTTTTTTTGAATTATATCTCTTGAATTTAATTTACTCTCTTACAATAAATATGCGGTTTTTGACTTAGTCTCGCAAAACACAAATTTCTCTATCAACACCCAAGCAAAGTCACTTCGCGTTTTGTGAATACATGTGGACCTCCGAAAACATAACATTTATGTTGTCGGTGTACACAATTATGAAATCTAATGCACATCTTCCTTGTTTTGTGGATATTGACAAATCGTACAGATATCCATGGAGCAAGAATCATGAATAGTCTCTAACGTGCACATGATAAGTTCTATCTTTTTCACGCCAAAAATCTAAATTTCAACTCAACAAGATCCAACTAGATTTGATTTCATCAAATGAATCCAAACTTAATAATACCCTTAACTAGGGCTGTAAACGAACCAAACAAACACGAATATAAACAAACGTAAATGAACATATAATATAGCAATATAATAAAAAATAATTAAATATAGATGAATATAAATAAACTTAAACGAACGAATATAAACAAACGTAAATGAACATCATAAACGAATGTTTACGTACATAAATGAATGAACGAGATCATTGTTCATGTTCGTTCATTTAACTAAACGAACAATAATTTTTGTTCATATTCGTTCATTTATTAAATAAACAAATATAAACGAACTTCCCGCCGAACAGTTCACGAAGATTACAGCCCTACCCATAACTACATTTTTCAAAGATAATGATAATACTATAAAAATAAAGATAACTTGAAACTTTTTTTACACATAACATGTCATATAAAGTTTAGGTTGTTGTTTGTCTATAAAGTTGGTACCTCTCCCATCCCTATAATGCCAACTTCACCATTGTCATTTCTAAGCTAGAAAGCCTAGTTGGATTTCAATTGAAATATTTGAGGTTAATATTAACTTTTTAATTATAAACAAAACAAAATGAAACTTTAACCATTTTAACCTCACAAGATTGGAAATAACATACAACACTAGCATGTACAAAATTAGTACACAAAACAACTGTGACAATATTCGATACGCACCACTGGTTTGAAAATTTAGCACACTTTAGTACAAACAATCCATATTCATCCAACAAGATGCCATTGTTATCTTTACTCCAAAAACTCCCAACTAATCAAACTCCACAAATAAAGATTCTACCTTTTTACAAACATCCATTTTGTTTACAAACACATAATTGTATCAACACACGACCACAAACCTTTATGACATTGTACACGAACTTATTGAGCCCATGATAAATTCTGAGCTTCTGACAATAATCAAATAACTTTAGACTAAAGAGTAAGCCAAAACAAGAAAAGAAAAAGAAACTTGCTATAATTTCTGTGGACATGGGCAAAAAGGCATAAGCACAAGTATAAAGCTTTTGAGTCCCCACTTTGACCAAATGACAGATGCTAACACAATAACCAAAGAAACAGAACAAATTCAAGGACCAATTTGAAACAATCAATGCACCAACTCTATAAAATATCTAAGCAAGAATATATATATATAATTATCAAGAAACCAAATATCCCCACAACAATGAGATCTTTAGGGTAACCCTTGTTTTCGTTTTCATTCATAAATGGCTTCTATTAAACCTCCAGCATGTATACATCCAGATTTCTCATAAAGACCATAGTTAAGTAGTACTTGAAAACCCTAATCTTTTTTTTCTAGTAAAGGACTTGAAAAATTAAAATAAATAGGTGCCATATCCGAAACCCTAATTAACAGACTTGAAGTAGCAAACCAAACCCAACCAAAAACTCATATCAAAAGCAAGCATATTAAACTATGGTTCACCCATTGATTCATCAACACAGAAAAGCAAAAAAGTAAATAGAATGATGTATGGATGCAAAGCAAATGTGAAGAAACACATTTACCCTTTATCCTCCATCATCCATGGTAGCAGATCAACGGTTGTTAGATGTAGGGCATTCTCTGGCGAAGTGTCCATCTTCACCACAGTTGTAGCAGCCGCCGCCGCCACCGCCACCACCTCCGCGTCCTCCGCCACCTCCATAACCTCCACCTCCACGTCCTCCACCACCATATCCTCCGCCTCCACCACCGTTCTGAGTACATTCCCTAGCCATGTGTCCACTTTCACCACACTTGAAACAAGCGTTTCCACCACCGCCGCCTCCTCCATAACCACCGCCTCCACCATAGCCACCGCCTCCTCCACCGTATCCACCACCACCACGTCCTCCACGGCTACCACCGTTGTACCCACCACCACCGCCTCCATAACGATCACCACCTCCGCCTCCATAACGATCACCACCGCCGCCTCCACGGCCACCACCACCACCACCACGGGTACTCCCCTGGACAGGACCTTCATTGGGACCAGTAACATCAGCAGCTTTAGTACGGCCATCAGATCCGTTCTCAATCACGTACTCCACGGTCTCACCGTCACCAAGGCTGCGGAATCCCTCAGTTCTGATGGACGACTGGTGAACAAAAAGCTCCTCGCCGCCATCTTCAGGAGTGATGAACCCAAATCCCTTAGTATCGTTGAACCATTTGACGGTTCCTGATTTCCTAGCGCCGTCAACGTCCATTTTTGAATTGAAGAGAAACTCACAAACCCTAGAAATCGAAAACCCCCAAAATCAAGAGAGCAAACCCTAGTCTCTCTCTAGAAACTTGGGATAAGTTTGTTTCCACGCTCACGCGCGTATATATAGAGTAACAGTTTTTGCGATAGGGGTAAAACTGGAAATACGGAATCCGATTTTATCGATTGCAAAGTTTTTTTTTTTCGAAAAGATGACCGTGAGGGGAATCTGACCACGACGCCTCTACTTCTCAACGAAATCCAACGGCCAGGATGAATTCATGAAGTGATTTTATATCTTTTTTAGGGATGATTACAACAAAAAATAAAAATATATTGATAACGATAAAAAAGAATCTACAAAATACATGCTTAACAATTTTTGAATTTTTTGTTCCAAATTGTAACCTTTTTTTTTCACTTAGCTAAAGTCATGCTTGTAAGTCAAAACTCATTACAACGAGATGGTTTGATATATAATGATCATATGAAAGCTTACGTGGCAATTAAATTTTATATATATATATATATATATATATATATATATATATATATATATATATATATATATATATATATATATATATATATATATATATATAATTCTTTCAAAAGTTTGAGCATTTAAATCAATAAAAATTATTTTTGAAATCATAAAATCGCATCAAATTATAAATATCAAAAGTTGCATTATACATAGATGTTAATATGATAATTGATTAATTAATAATGTCAAAAACCTCAAATAAAATTCAAATCATCAACCACTTAAATAAATTTTGAAATTTAATTATAAAATAAAACATAATTAAATAGAATAATGTGGATTATTTATTGTATTGTGTTGTATGTGATGTTTTTTAAAAATCATTAAGATTTATAGTTATGGATTAAATGTTTTTCAGGTACATTATGGATTAAATGTGTTATATGTGATATTTTTTTTCAGTTACATTATCAGTTCATGAAGATGCGAAAGTGTGACTGTACACAAACATCAGTAGTATTATGATTGGAGATTACGCGATACTTTCGTTATAACTCTGATTTATGGATTTCAATTTATGAACAGATGGTTTTGCTTTGCATGTACCTTTATAAAAATGAATGTTTATGTCAATTTAAAATTGAAAAAAAAATATTCTAAAAATTAGTACTTTACAAGTTGGTATAAGAGCCATTGTTTGAGGGATTTGAATGAACATTCATGTGATTCTAAACTCAAAACTAATGATCTGAGGATACTTATAAACCTTTTTGAAAAATAATTAACTTAAAAGAAGGAAAGAAGATGCGATGTGTACAGTCAGCCGGAGCTCAAGTAAGCGATTCCCAAAATATCGATACATGTTTGATATATTATTGATGTTATAATATGAGTTTCATGCTAAAACTAGGCTAAGAATCTATGCATGGTTGCATGTTAGAATGTCTGCTTATGAGATATACTTTTTTGTTCCTGATATGTGAAGTGTTATAGATGCATGATAGCATGTAGGCTAATGATCTTCAGGAATTTCGTGTTAGAATGTTGTTTGCTTTTTTCTACGTGAAACCTATATTGATATTAATTAACTATTGAGTGAATACGTTAGGTTCCATACCACTAATATAAAATAGTTTTAGAATGCTTGATTTGACACTATATCGTGGAAGACTCCCTTTCGAGTTACAAATACCACACTCTCACTAGGTCTGTAGAACAAGTATTCAGAAGACTTCTAAGGGTAACCAATGAAAATGCATCTCTCACTTCTGGGTTCTAGCTTTTCATGAGTTTCTCGTCTGACGAAAGCTTCACAACCCTAAACCTTGATATGTGATAACGAGGGAACTTTCCTTGTCCACATCTCGTGAGTTGTTTTGGCAACCTTCTTAGTATGGACAAAACTAAGAATATGGGCATTTGTCTCTAAGACATATCCCCATAAAGAAATATGAAGGGAAGCTCGACTTGTCATGGAACGAACCATGTCTAACAAGATTCGATTTATCCTTTCAGCCACACCATCAAATTGTGGTGTCCTAGGAAGAGTTAATTGTGAAACTATTCCACATTTCTTGAGATAGTCATGGAACTTGATACTAAGATACTCTCTGACTCTATCAGATCGGAGCATCTTTATCTTCCTTCCCAGTTGATTCTCGACCTCGTGTCTACACTCTTTGAACTTTTCAAAGGTTTTTGTCTATATTTGATTAAGTATATATAACCATATCTATTATAATCATCTGTCAATGTCACGTAGTATCAATTTGCATCTCTTATTGCAGATCTGGAGGGACCACACACATCTGTGTGTATGAGATCCAACAAAACCTCACCTCTTTCACAAGACCCATTGAAAGGTGACTTTGTCATCTTATCCAAAAGATAATACTCATATTCATCATCTGACCTTAAGTCAAATAACTCCAACACCCCATCCTTTTGGAGTTGGTCGATGTATTTCTTGTTAATGTGTCCAAGATGACAATGTCACAAGCATGCTTTGTCTACACCATTAGATGAAACAATATGGAATACACTATTGCCCAAGCTATCAACACAAATCATAGTTTCATACACATCATTACAAGGTAAAGCTTCAAACATAAAAACACCACTCTTGTAAGCTAAAATTGAACCATTCATATCACTAAACGGATATCGAAAACCTTGTCTAAATAGTGCATGAAAAGAAGTAATGTTTTGTGTCATTTCTAAAGAATAGCGACAATCAATCAAATCTATCCTAACATTACCACCGAACACAAAACCAGAAGTTCTAATCTTGGTAACAGGAGAAAATTGCTTATTTCCCATGATCAAGTTTATTCTTTCATGCTCCACCTCCTCACATTCTCTTAACCCCTACAAACCAGAACAAATGTTAAATCCACATCCTGTATCAAGGACCATAGAACGAGTAAGTTGTGAGTTATTGAATTAAATAGTGTATATACTTGTCGACAATATCTTGATCTTGCTATCCTTGATGTATATCAAGTATTTAGGGAAAATTATTTTCCAATTTCCGTTTTTGTTGCAGTAGTAGCAAGTAGCCTCTTTTGGGTCACTAACATCAAGAATATCTCAAATGGGCTTTGTCTTCGACCCATTGCTAGACGATCTGGCATGGGGCTTGCCCTCCGAGTTTGAATGAACATTAGACTTCCTCTTATTTTCTTCTATTTTTCCCAATGGTAAGGACACGAGTACTTGTAACATAAGGGACTTAATTATTTTTCATCCCTGATTCAGCTGCCTGTAACAAGTTGTGGAGTTAGGCCAATGTGGTATTTGTGTTGTTCAAATGATAAGTCAAGATGAACTGATCATCACAAAATGGCAATGAGTTAAGGACTATGTCAATGGTTAACTCTTCGTCAAAATTCACATTGAGCCTCTCAAGATGCTCCATGTATCTCTGCATTCTCTGCACACGCTTGCATACAGACTCTCCCTCCTTCAACTTGCAGGCCAATAACACTTTGACGACCTCATACTTTTCTTGACGTGCTCTCTTATGGAACTTTTCCGCAAGATTTAAGCCTATCTCATATGGCCAATAGTCCTCATAGAACTTTTGCAACTCATGTACCATGGTTGCAACAATGATGCAAGCGACCTTTGTTGCGTCGTCGTAGTGTTTTTTGTAGGTGTCACTCTATTTTGGAGCAACAATTAACTCATCGACTTCGACATGAGGTTTTTCGAGGATATATTCTTTACCCTCATATCGAAGAGTCATCTTGAGATTTCGCATCCATTTCATGTAGTTTGGACCAACTAGTTTCTCTTTGGAGAGGATTAATAGTAGAGTGAAGTTGTTGGTGGTTAACTAAGCAACAGTAGCATCTCTTGGAGTAAACATCTATATCAAAGTAATAGTTAGTTGATGTAAATCCTTAATATTTTAACCCAAAATAAATATTCAAGGCTAGGATCCAATATAACAATTCATAACTAAGAAGAGGGATGTCGTAATATTATTGTGAATTTATGAAGGTAGGTAAAATGACCAATTTCAATCTATGAAATTACTTGATCTTTTGAGATTCATTGAATCTTATTAATCGAATGTTTAATCTCAGATTATGCTCATTTATTTGTGGTTGGGATGCTGATGATCACAAACAAGATCTGAATAATCATGCAAACACACGTGACAACCTAAATGTCATTTATCATCTTTAATTAACGTGTCGGTTAACCACACGTGCTCCATTAACAATGATAATTTTTGAGATGTCCATCATTTATCTTTAAAGTTCCTATTAATGTGTCGGTTAACCACATACGCTCCACTAACGACATATTAAAGTATGATGTGTGTTTTCATGGGTTAGCTTACTTTTCACATTTTCCTAAAGTAACTACACTGAGATTTTATAAAGAAAGTTATAGTACTTTTATATCATTACACTTTTAATGAGATTATGTCCTATCAAAGCCGTTCAACTAACAACCTCCCACCATACAGGGGAGCAGTAGGTAGGAATGAGCACCCATTCAACGACCATTTTATAGGTCGCTTCCTTATACCTTCTTTATAGCATGGTTTCGTAAATGAGATGTACTAGCGATTTGACTAACTTCTCTTATACATATGATATATTAAACTTTTAATAGTATACATAAGTTGTATTTTAAATCTTTTCAAAATCTAAGCTTTAAATATTAATTATTTAAATTAAATCTTTTAATTAATTAATATTATGATTTATCTTTATCTTTTAAGTAAACAATTAATTAAATTAATTAAATCAAATAGGGATTAAATAATTATTTTAATTAAACAGTTAACAAAAAAATCAAATTTAATCATAATCCAAACCCTCCTAATTTTTGAAAAAAGGGTTGTGTTTATTAGGTTTTCATTATTCAAATTTTAATGTTTTTTAAAATAATAATCAGGGAAAGTAGATAAACCCTATCTAACCCTAGAAAATTTCGAAATCTAAGGGTGGAGGCTAGGGTTTCAAGAAACCTAACTATTTTAAAAAATTCCTCCCTTAGGG